TTTCCTGGGTCTTATGTGCGCTGGTGGGTGCTCTGGCCTAGTCTCACACAACTCACCTCACCTTGGCATTTGCCGGTGGGTGCTGTCGCCTTGCCTGGCCCGGCCTGCCCTCAGTTTCAGTTGATGCTGCTGGGTGCTGCTGCCTAGGCCAGCCTGGATTGCCCTCAGTCTAGGTCCTAATGGACTCCTCTATGAACTCCTATAATTTCTAATATGTAACTCCTCTATCAGGACACAGTGCCTGCAGGTGAGTGCAAGAATCAAGGCTGGGAGCAGCCCAGACAGGTAACAGTACCTGCCACATACATGGGGGTCAGGTTTGTGGGCAGGGCTGGGAAGACTGGGCTAGTTGATAACATACACTGGCAGATGTGAGAACCAGGACGGAGTGCAGGACAGGCCTGGCTGGGCCACAACACCAGACAGTTCACATTAGAGCCGGGACAGTTAATCTTCAGACATACTAATCCTGGGGCTGGTGCGGTGGCACAGCAAGCTAATCCTTCACTCTGCGGCACTGACATCCCATATGGACAACAGTTCGTAACCTGGATGCTCTCCTTCCCATCCAGCTCTCTGCCTATGGTCTTGAACAGCCAAACACCTCAGGACTTTGCCTCTGGGTGGGAAATCCAGGGGCATCTCTAGGATCCTGGTTTCAATCAGCTCAGCTCTGGCCATTGTGGCCATTTTAGCAGTGAACCAGCAGGTGGAATACCTTCTCTCTCCATCTCTCCTTCTCTCTCTGTAAAACCCGCCTTTCAGATAAAAAAAAAAAAAAAAGATAAATCCTTGAAATAAATACTAGTCCAAAATGGACTTATCTGAATATTATTGCAATAACAGTAATTATCAATGGAAATTTCTGACCCAAAGAGGATAAAAGATGTTTATTCATGTGCCTTTATGGCGATGGTTAGTGAGGAAATAAGAAGGCACTTAGTCATTCTTGTTGTGACAGGTTAAATACAGGTTACTCTGGGAGCGTGTCAGAGGACTACTTCATACAGCTCGAGGGGGCAGGAGAGGTTTCTGAGGAAGCAATGTTCAGGTTGAAGTGGGAGGCACTTCAACAAAGGAAGTTGGGGAAAGCTCAGATAGTTTAGGAGGGAAGGTAGAATGAATGAAAAAGCAGGAGGGAAAAAAAAACTGAGACAATTGTCCCAGCCCCCTTCCTCTATACCTCGACCCTCACCATCCTAATTGAAAGTCCACATGGGCATGCATCCCTCTCAGCTCTATGAACAATACTAAAAATAAAAACAAATAGTGAAACAGAACAGTATTAATTATCATTTGAGGACAGCAGGTAGAAAATGGAACTGTCCTTGGTAGAAGAGGAATTAATCACTCTATTTGGAGGTGACGTTCAAGTGCTTGTCCCTTCACTGAAGGCCCAGGATGCCTGTCTTCTCCCTCTGCCTTGTCCATTTTGCCTAACTGACTTCATCTTTACCTTGGTCTTTACTTGTCCATTTCCCCAATATTTCCTGCGGATACATTTCTGGCTACCGAGGTTACTAAGAAGACAGGGCAGTATCCTCACGCTCTGTCTGGGGAAGACATACAAAAAATCCTAATATAGTTCATGATTGTCTCCACCAAGCTTTCAGCTCCTGTCATTTCCAGTCATAATGCAAAATACGGATCTAATTAAATTTTTCTTTTAAACATTGATTTATTGACTTATTTGAAAGGGAAGGCTATGGAGATTGAGGGAAAGACAAAGGTATCGTCCATCTGCTGGTTCACAATCTAAATGGTTGCAACAGTCAGGTATGGGCCAAGTCAAAGCCCTTTAAGAGTCTGGAACTTGATCCAGGTCTCCCACATGGGTCAAAGCAGCTGAAGTAGCTGGGTCATATTCCACTGCCTTCCCAGGCAGGTTAGAGGCATGCTGGATCAGAAGTAGAGTAGCTGGGACTGGAACCAGTGGTTCAACATGGAATGCTCATGTCACAAGCTGCCGCTGAGCTCATGTGTCACAATGTCAGTCTCTGGGAGCTCAGATTTTTTATTTTTAAGATTTACTTTTATTGGAAATACAGATTTACTGAGAGAAGGAAAAATACAGAAAGACTTTCTATCTACTGACTTGCTCCCCAAATGGCAGCAATAGCCAGAGCTGAGCAGATCTCAAGCCAGGAACTTCTTTCAGGTCTCCCAAGTGGGTGCAGGGTCCCTAGCACTTGTGCCATTCTTTGTTGCTTTCCTAGGCTATCAAAAGGGAGCTGGGTGGAAAGCGGTGCAGCTGGAACATGAACTGGTACCCAGATGGGATGCTGGCATTGCAAGGCATAAGATTAACATGCTGAGCCACTGCACTGCCTTTTATTTGAAAGGCAGTTATAGACAGGGTATGGTGAGGCAGGCAGGCAGCATGAAGTCCTCCATCTGCTGTATCTCTGGTTCCACTTTCCAAAAAGCTGTTAATGACCAGGGTTGGGTCAAGCTGAGCCAGGAGCTCCATTTGGGTCTCTCACATGAGTGCGGAGGCTCAAGCACTCGGGCCATCTTCTGCTGCTTTCTCAAAGACCTGAGTCCAAAGTGGAGCAGCCATGACTGGAACTGGTGCCCATATGGGGTGTTGCATGTAGCAATTTAACCCCCTATGCCATAATGCCAGTCCTGACAGCTCAGAATAATCCAAGCATGGCCTAAAATTAATTGAGGAGGAAGGACAATTTCCCAATGTTTAAACGCTATGTTTTATTTATTGATTTGAAAGGCAGATTTTTATAGAGAGAAGGAGAGACAGAGAGGTTTTCTGTCCACTGGTTCACTCCACAAATGCGTACAATGGTCAGAGTTGAGCTGATCCAAAGCCAGGAGCTTCTTCCTGGCTTCCCAGGCCAGGCCTTTGGGCCATCCTCCACTGCTGTCCAGATTATAAGCAGAGAGCTAAATCATGCATGGAACAGCTGAGACATGAATTGGTGCCCATATGGAATGCTGGCACTTGCAGGTGAGGACTAGCTTGCTATGGCCACTACACTAGCCCCTAACTGCTGTTTTTAGTGAATACATCCCATTATTCACATAGGCCTGCTTTTTTTCCTAGAGTGGTACAACAACAGAGTATTCAGTCTGTTAACAACTACATCATGCAGATTGGGATGTATGTTCTAGCCAGACTCCAACATTTCAATTAAGGTGAGAAAAAAGATGCAGCGTAAAGCTGTGTCCTAAGTGACTGAACCTGTCTCCATTTTGCGGAGCAGAGTGGCTTTAAAGGAGTGAAGATACAGGTGACGCACTAGTGTTGTAAACTATCTGTTGAATAACTGCTGTGTGACAGCATCATTTACGCTTTCCAACAGAGTTCTTACTGTTTCTATCATCCACTCCCCCCAACCCCCCCGGAGTGAAGCCTTGCACACAAACCTGATTATTCCCTGGGTAGCACCCCTTCCTGCTAGTCTAGCATTCCTGATGAAACGTGAAGTCCAACTATGGCTTACACAAGGACACATGCTCCTGCACAGGTTTGCCATGTAACCCCTCTAATTGGCTGTGTTCCAGCCACCCTGGTCTCCCAGCTTCTCCATCCCAGAGAGGCTCCACCTCAGGGCCACCTGCTGCTTCTCTTCCCCTGGAATAATTTAACTCTGGAAATCCAGCCATCCCCTTTCTCATTCGATCATGACATTGCTGCTCAGGCCACCTCCACTGAGGCCTTCCTTATCTGCCCCAACTCAAAGAAATCCCAGTAGCACTCTTATCCCTTTAGCGGCATAAATCGTACATTATTGATCATTATCTATTATGTAGTTATATGCATACTGCTCATGGCCAATCTCATTATAACACAGACTCCATGAAACAGACTTCGCTTAGTTCACTGCTGAATTCCCAGCACCCAGAAGGGTCTGCTCACTAAATAGCTACTGAATGAATAAAGAGATTCTACCACCTAGCAAAGGTAAAATAGCTCCAATGTATAATACATTTATTGACAGGATGCATAAGAACATGCCTGTAAGGGCATTTACCCAGCTGTTATCTGCATTCAGCATGATAGAAGGTAGTTTTCTCATTATTTTTTGGCATGCACAAAAATTTGTAAGACAACTAACTTACCCATATACCAAAGGAAAGAATAAAGGGACCACATAGGTAAGAAAGGCAAGTGAATTCTAATAGAGGAGAATATTTATCAGACAGACTTCTAAACAGACATCACCGTATGAAAGGCTGACTCGCAGTGCCCTAGCCAGTATGCATAGCAAGGTAATCTCTATGCGACTGCCACTGTCTTTTCACCTGGAAAACAGGATAGTACTAGTTAGTGCTTACCTCACACGGTAGTCTTAAATGAGATTCTGTGCATAACCTGCTTTATACAATGCCTGGCACGCAGTGGGTACTCACTGACACGCGGCGGTTACGGGTTACCGTGCTAACAACAGTAGTAAGTGATCAGAGGTGTCGGGACCTACCTAGACCTCAAGAATGACATCAGAGTGGACCACCACATCCTCTCTCATCACCGCGCCTCCATCTGGGCCTCTGAAGCCCAAAGTGGGACTGGTTCTCTCCAAAGAAGACAATCTCCACGATCCAGAAGCATCTGAGTGGAATGTGCCCTCCTCACCCCTTAAGCCATTCATTCAGCTTGGAAAATCCACGAGGCCCGGCCGGGAGAGGCGGCCACGGCCCAAGTCCCACAGCCTCCCTGGGCTGCCGGTGGGGTGGAGGTGGGAATGGTACCCCCAAACCCAGACAGTACCGGCCGGGTCCGCCTCACCGCACTCCGGAGGGGATCGAACGGCACCGCGAACCGGGAAGTCTCTGGCGACGGGGCCACAAGCCACACGGGGAAAGTGATTATTGCTCCGACTCAGAAGTCGGGGCAGCGGCTCAGCCCTCTGCCCGCGGCGCTCGGGCACCGGGAAGGCGGCGCGGCGGTGGACCTGGCCGGGCTGGAGGGGGAAGGGGCGGCGCCCCGACGCGGGGGCGCGCACGGCGGCGCCCGGGGGCGCGCACGCACACGCGGTCTGCGCGTGCGCGCGTTCGCTCGCTCCGCTGCCGGATTCTCGGCGTGGAGGCGGGAGACGAGGAGAGGTGAGGCGCCAGGCGCCGCAGGGCCGGCGTGCGGGCGGCGGGGCGGCCGGGAAGCCGGGCCGCGGGGTGCGGGGGCGAAGGCGAGCGGGCTGCAGGAGGCCGGCCTTGGCGGCGGACGGGCCGTGGCGGGCGGGCGGGCCGTGTCCCGCCGCGCTGTGGGGGAGGGCGGCGCCGGGCTCGGGCTGACCCCTCGGGCCCCGCCCCGCGTCGGGGCGGCCCGGTCGAATCCCAGCTTCGGTGTTGCAGAGGAGCTCCGTAATCAGGCAACAGCTACATCCTGTGCGCGTCCTCGGCCTTACCCATTGAATTTCCAAAGAGGCCTTCCCTGGTGGATGTTAGGGCTCAGAGCGAGTGACTTGCCCAAGAGCGTAGGGCTCAGGAAGGCAATTCGGGTTTTTCATCTTGGCTGGGTGGCTCGACAGCCTGCGCTGGTCCTCTGCAGCATGCAGACTCCTGCTCCTGCTCCAGGAGCGTGTGTGAGCTGGGGCGGTCCTGAGACTGCCAGCTGCATCTCGTTTCATCTGCAGTTGAAATGGCTGGGCTAGTCACTGCCTGGGAGACGCTGTGAAAGTAATCTCATGTTTCGTAGCTTCCTTTCCTCAGAAAGTTGGGGAGGGTTCGGAGAGAACCCACCTGGAGTGGTACCGGTCAGCACCTGGAAAACTGGCACAGTTCAGTAAATGTCCCTTTGTATTTCTGAAGCTCCTTTCTCTCCAGAGGTCAGTGTTGACTTTGAGCTGAGGGAAACCCTTCCACCTGAGCTACACAGGATAAAGTTGGTTGGCAGCCGTGGGAGCTCAGCGTTGCTGGCGTTTCCTGAGTGGTTCTGCCAGTGGGAGAGACCTAGGGGAAGGACGCAGCACCAGGGGTCGGCTTGGCTGTGTATCAGGTAGAGCTGCTCCCTGCAAGGCTGGCAGGCCCAGTGAGTGCCAGTTCCAGTGGCTGCTCCATTTTTAGTGCAGCTCCCTGCTGCTGTACCTGGGAGAGCAGCAGAGGATGGCACAGAGCTTGGGCCCCCTGCACCCACCCCGGAGACTCAGAAGAAGCTTCTGGCTCCAAGCAGGACCAGCCCAGCTCCTACCATTGCTCTTAGGTGGGGAGAAACAGCAGATGTAAGACCTCTCTGTTTTGTCCTCTTTCCCCTCTCTGCAACTCTGCCCTTCCACTAAATAAATGTTTTTTTTAAGATTTATTTATTTTTATTAGAAAGTCAGATATACAGAGAGGAGGAGAGACGAACAGGAATATCTTCTGTCTGATGATTGACTCCCCAAGTAACCACAACGGCTGGAGCTGAGCCGATCCGAAGCCAGGAGCCAGGAACCTCCTCCAGGTCTCCCATGAGGGTACAGAGTCCCAAGGCTTTGGGCCATCCTCAACTGCTTTCCCAGGCCACAAGCAGGGAGCTGGATGGGAAGTGGAGCTGCTGGGATTAGAACCGGTGCCCATATGGGATCCCGGTGGGATCAAGGAGAGAACTTTAGTTGCTAGGCCACAGCGCCGGGTCCCCACTAAATATATTTGTTTAAACGTCACTGCAGAACTAAACAGGAGTTATCCTTATGTAGACCTAACATTTGTCCAGTATTGATAGTTTTATTGAGTTTTCTCTGCATGCTTGACATAATGCTTAATACTTAAATTTTTTTTTCTAAAGATTTATTTACTTATTTTTAGAAAGTCCAATTTACAGAGGGAAGGAGAGACAGAAATAATCCTTCATCTGCTGGTTCACTCCCCAAGCAGCCACAACAGCCAAAGCTGAGCCAGTCTGAAGCCAGAAGCCAGGAGCTTCCTCCGGGTCTTCCTCACAGGCCCCGGGTCCCAAGCTTTGGGCCTCCTTCCACTGCTTTCCCATGATGGGAAGTGGAGCAGCTGGGATAAGAGCCAGCACTCATATGGGATCCTGGTGGGTAGTAGGTGAAGACTTCAGCCACTAGGCTGCTGCACTGGGCCCAGTGCTTGATGCTTTAAAGCTGTACAGATTTGTATTGGATGTGGTCCCTGCTTTCATTTATTTTAGACTAGAATCAGGGGAAAGTGTATAGAGGATATTCTTACAAAGAAGAATGAGAAAAATCCCAGAAAAAAATCTACAAAAAAAAGACTAAAAATTTGTGGATACATAGAAGAGAGCTAGCTTAGTGTGAAATATGATTTCATTTCTACCTTCAAAAAGGATACTTTCTGCATTTGGGTTTTCTTTCTTTCTTTTTAAAATATTCATTTATTGAAGAGTTACAGAGAGAGAGAGCGCACTTAATTTTCCATCTGCCTCTTCACTCCCCGATGGGTGCAGTGGCCGGGGTTGGGCCGGGTGCAAGTCAAGAGCCTGGAATTCTGTTTCCTTCCCTTCGATGGTGGCAAAAGGCCCGGGGACTAGGGAGGTTTGCCATTGCTTTCGCTGCCACAAGTATAGGGAACTGGACTGGAAGCAGAGCAGCTGAGACTCCAGCTGGCACCCTGATGAGATGCTGGCATCACAAACTGTGGCTTAACCCACTGCACAGCATTGCCTGCTCCTGTACATTTGTTGTGAAGGAGTAAATTAGTGAAGAAATATACCTTATAATGGAGTGGACTTCTTGCTTTCTGTAATAGAAACATGGGTCTGACACAGTGGCTCACAGGCTAATCCTCTGACTGCTGCACTGGCATTTCATACGGACGCCAGTTCAAGTCCCAGGTGCTCCATTTCTGATCCCGTTCCCTCTTTATGGTCTGGGAAAACCGTGGAGGATGGCTGAAGTCCTTTGCACCCATGTGGGAGACCTGGAGGGAGCTCTTGGCTTTTGGTTGGCTCACTTCTGGTCATTGCAGCCGCTGGGGAGTGAACTCGTGGATGGAAGGTCTTTCTGTCTGGCCTTCTCTGTAATATTTTTTCAAAATAACTTTTTCAAAATAAAAACAAAGCAACAACAACAAAACCAGAAACTTACTCAGGTTGAAATCTTATTAGAAAGGGAAATTGGGGGAGAGCTATGCAGGTAGGCCCCCCCACCCCAGGCAATGAGACTCTCAGCAGCCAATGCTCATGATGGCTCTTGTGAAGACTCCTCTAGATCTTTCTGCCCCGGGTATTTTGTTATGACATGTAATCCTCCCAGCAGCCTGTGCAGGCAGGTACTAATGTGTCTATCTTACAGAGGAGGAAATGGGCCTAGAGACGTAAAAGAGTTTGTTCAGCTTTACAAAGCTGGAATGAAATGGAGCTGATTCTCTTCACTTTGATTTGTTCTCTAATCCACGTGCCGCTTTGGTTTTTGTTCCCAGGGACTCATCAAGCTGTGGTGTTTGTGTTGGCCAGTTCTGAGATCTTGAAGCTCTGCCCAGAGGAGGAATACAGCAGCCGTCTCTGCCAATGGACCGTTTGGGTTCCTTTAGCAGTAAGTACAGTGGGAACAGAATAATAATAATAGCAGACTCCAGTCAGAGTTGATCAAGACGGAAAAAGATAAGCATTTTCAGGTTACACTAATCCTAAAGAAATTAAAACAGTATCAAGTAAAATCACTTGGTATTTATTGACTGCCGTTGAAGACATGATGTAGACCTGCTAACTTGAGTTTTGGAAGAAACCGAAGCTGAAATGGGTAGGACATAGTCTGATTATCCTGCAGTTAGACTTAACCGCAGTGGGGTTTCTCTTTTGAACCTGTAACATCCTGCAGACCCCTTAATAAGAAGTAATCCAGTGGAACTTGTGCTCTCATTGAAAACCACAGCGTAAAAATAATGCAAAGAATTACGGCATGTATGTGAAATGAATTTGGGTAGCCACTGTAACTGCTAATAAAACATAAATACTTCTGTCTCTGATTCTGAAGATATGAAATTTGCCAGAAATAAAAATTATATTGTTAGGTGTTTAGTTGTATCCCAGTGAGAACGATTGGAAAGTGCTTTTTGCTCTATTTTCCACATACTCTCTGTATAAATTCAGGATAGAATAGAGTGGTCTCAAACATCTAGATTTACTCTTCCATGGATGAAAAATCTAAATCCAGTGCAAGGGATATAAACTAAAACTACTTTTATCTTTGAAAAAGACAGTTGTTAAACTTATTTGGAGATAATTTTAAGCTTACTGAAGTTATCAGGATACAGAGAGCTGGTACCCTGTGAGCTTCCAGCTCACTCGCTCCCTGCATTATGAATAGGTGCTCTTGTGGTTTTTCCAAGTCACTTTGAGGTAGGTGACATACATGGTGATTCTTTGTCATGAAGTACTTCAGGATTTATTTCCTGAGAATGGGGACTTTCTACCACCTTCGCAGAAAGGGTGATTGGTGTTATGGCTAGACAGGTGTTTTTAATGCCTCTGGATTATGAATAATGGTGAGAAAAAAAAAATCTTTCTGTCTTTCCTAGGTTCTGCAAAAATTCTGGAATAGCTCTCATTTTTAGTTAATTAATTTGAAAGGCAAAACTACAGAGATGGAAGGAGAAAGAGGGGAGATGTTTTATCTCCTGGTTTACTCACTAAATGTCCAGAGCATCTGAGGCTGGGCCAGGCTCAGTCAGGGAGGGAGAGACCCAGTCTGGTCTCGTGTGGGGTGCAGGACCCAAGCAGCTGGGTTGTCATCTGCTCCATTTGGTATGCGATACCCACATCACGGGCGGCCCCTGAAAAAACAGTGTGTCTGTATATATATATAAACCCCCTCAAAATCCTGCAGCAGGGGCTTGTGTCGTTAAACCTCTGTTTGTAACATCAGTTTCCCATAGGAGTTCTGGTTTGAGTTGTGGTTGTTCCACTCTCAATCCAGCTCCCTGCTAATGTATCTAGGAAAGCAACATAAAATGGCCCAAGTGTTTGGGCCCCTGTTACTCACATGGGAGACTTGTTGGAGTTCCTTGCTACAAGCCTCGGCCTGGCCTTGCCCTAGCTGTTGGGCATTTTTTGGACGAGTGAACCAGGGGATGGAAGATGTCTGCCTGCCTGTCTCTTTCTCTCACTTTAACCTTTCAAATAAGTAATCTTTTTTATTATTATTAATTTGTTTTTGCATTACAAAGTCAGATATTACAGAGAGAAGGAGACACAGAGAGAAAGATCTGCTATCTGCTGGTCCATCCCCCAAGTGGCCATAATGGCCGGAGCTGAGCCGATTCAAAGCTAGGAGCCTCTTGTGGATCTCTCATGTGGGTGTGGGTGCTGTCCTCCACAGCCCTCCCAGGCCATAGCGGGGAGCTGGAAGGGGTGTGGAGCAGCCAGGACACTACTGTACACTCGATAGTTCTAGGACAAGGGAAATATATATCCTGAGGAATAAATTGAAATTTTGTACTTACAAAGTTGTTCATCTCAGCATTTTTTTTTTTTTTAAGATTTATTTATTTTTATTTTGAAAGTTAGGTATACAGAGAGGAATAGAGACAGAGAGGAAGATCTTCAGTCCGATGATTCACTCCCCAAGTGGCCGCAACGGCTGGAGCTGAGCCAGTCCGAAGCCAGGAGCCTGTCTGGGTCTCCCGCGCGGGTGCAGGGTCCCAAAGTTTTGTGCCGTCCTTGACTGCTTTCCCAGGCCACAGGCAGGGAGCTGGATGGGAAGCAGGCCAGCTGGGATTAGAACCGGCACCCGTATGGGATCCCAGGCACGTTCAAGGCGAGGACCTTAACCACTACTCTATCGCGCTGGGACCTCAGCATTCTTTTTAAAAGTGGAAAATTGGAAACAACATAAAGCTGACCAGCTGTCGCGGAACTGGTTGTTCCAGGCCTGATGAGGCACACTGGTCTTGTAGTATCCCCTTTTGCCATTGGAAGTGAAATACACCCAGAATTTCAAACATTTAAAGTAATAATGGTATTTACTTATATTACATAGCATACAATTATGTAACACAAACACATATAATATATAATACAAACTATTACGTAATATATAAACTATATAATACATATTATATATACATCCTAGGTATAAGAAAGGAGATGAAAAGCTTTAAGAAGTTTGTGGAAACATGGAATTCAAAGGGAAGTTTTGGGTAGGGCTTTTGGCACAGCAGGTCAGACTGGGCTTGGGATCGCCGCATCCTGTGTTCGAGTCGCTTGGTCAAGTCCTGGCTCGATATCCTGAGTCAGCAGATGCTGGCTAAAGTACTTGTGTTCCGGCCGTCACTGTGGGAGGCCCACATGGAAGGGTGGGCTCCCCCTTTGCCTGGCCCGGCTCTGGCTGCTCGTAGGCTTTTAGGGAATGAAGCAGCAGGTCAAAGATTGATCTCTGCTTCTCAAATTAAAAATAAATTAGTAGGGCCCGGCGCGATGGCGCAAGTGGTTAAGGTCCTCGTCTTGCACGCCCGGGATGCCATATGGGCGCCGGTTCTATCCCTGCAGCCCCGCTTCCCTTCCAGCTCCCTGCTTGTGGCCCGGGAAAGCAGTCGAGGACGGCCCAAAGCTTTGGGACCCTGCACCCGCGTGGGAGACCCAGAAGAGGCTCCTGGCTTCGGATCAGCATAGCATCGGCCGTTGCGGCTCACTTAGGGAGTGAATCATCAGACGGAAGATCTTCTCTCTGTGTCTCCTCTCTGTATATCCGCCTTTCCAATAAAAAAAAATAAAAATAAATCTTAAAAAAATAAATAAATTAGTAAAAATATAACTTGATTTTGATGCAAAAAATTGAAGTCATTGCATAGTTCTTTCATAATTTGCATTTTGAAGACCCCACGTATGCATGGTTGCAGAATTGTTTTGCACCACAATAGGCTCATCTTCTATTTCCATTTTCCACAAACTTTTTGAATTACCCTAGGAGAAGGTAAGGGATCTATAATGAAATGAGGTATCTCAACACGTTTCGACATGATTGCAAGAGAAGATGAAGTAGCCAGATGTTTGCTGCAACTATAGAAGCAGAGTGATTCAGGTGTATTGCGGTGTTTATAAGAAGCACCACAGGAATGAGTAACGCTTGGTTAAGTTCTGAAGAAAACAAAATACAGTGTACTCTCAAGTTACGTTTGGTTACCGTCTGGGGTCACCTTGAAAGTGAGGTAGAACCACATTATGCTTTGACGTGTAGCAATTTCTTGAGTATTTCAGGATGCCCAGAATCCTTGGCCCCTGCCCAAGTACTGGTAGTGCTCCCTAGTCATTGTGGTAATGAAGAAGCACCCCAGACTTCTACAGTTTCTTTTTAAGGAGAAATTGAGAATCATTCCTTTAGATGATTGTCACAATGGAATATTACCAAAAAATGAGATTTATTTGTATTTGATATAGAAAAAATCTTCATAACCTGTTGTTTGATTTTTGTTTTACTGAAGATTTACCCACTTATTTGAAAGGCACAGTGACAGAGAGGGAACGCTGATTCACTCCCCAAAATTGCCACAATAGCCAGGACAGCCCAGATAGATAGGAGATAGGATTCTGTACATGTCTCACACATGGGTAGCAGGGGCCCCGGCACTTGGTCCATCTCCTGCTGCCCGACCAGGTGTTTTAGGAAGCTGCATTGAAGTGGAGCAGTCAGGGTTGGCATTCCTGTTTGCCAACTTCACAAGCAGTGCCTAACCCATTATGCCACAATATTGACCCTCTACATTAATTTCTTTTTAGAGATTTATTTATTTTACTTGAAAGAGAAAGGGAGAGACAGAAAGATCCTCCATCTGCCTGTTCATTCCTCCAGTGGCCACAACAGCCACAGTTGAGTCACTGCAAAGCTGGGAGCCAGGATCTGCTTCTGTGCAAGGGCCCAAGGCCTTGAGCCATCCTCTGCTGTTTCACTCCCCAGAGAATAGCAATGGCCAGAGCTGGACTGATCAGAAGCCAGGAGCTTCCTCTGGGTCGCCTCCATTACTCTCCCAAACATGCTGACAAAGCGCTGGATCAGAGTGGAGCAGCCGGGATTTAAACCAGTGCCCATAAAACAAAAAAAGAAAAAAACAAAAAAATCAGTGCCCATAAGGATGCCAGTACCTCAGAAAGATTTAACCTACTATACCAATACTCTGGCCTCTACAATAGATATATTTTTTTCTATAGTTTATTTTTTTAAGTGTTTGCGGGATGGTGGAAAGAACAATAGGTTGTAAGACATGTACAGTGGTGCTTCAGCTAGTGGGAGGAAAATGCTGTTGTGGGGGGCTGGTACTGTGGTGTAGTGGGTAAAACCATATCCTACGTGGATTTCATTTTGAGTTCTGGCTGCCCCACTTCCCGTCCAGCTGCCTACTAGTGTGCCTGGGAAAGAAATGGACGTGACCCAGAAGAAACTCCTGGTTCCTGGCTTCTAAACAGTCGAGCTCTGACTGTTGCTCCCCTTTGGGGAGCAAACAAACAGTGGATCAAAGATCTCTCTTTAAATCTGTCTTTCAAATAAACTTATTTTTTTTTAAGATTTTTGAAGATTCTAGTCCAAAGCCAAGAGCTTCCTTCGGGTCTCCCACGTGGGTGCAGAGTCCCAGGGACTAGGGCCATTTTCTACTGCTTTCCTAGACCATAAGCAAGCAGCTGGATGGGAAGTGGAGCAGCCAGCACACAAACTAGACTTTGAGTGGATCCCAACTTTTGCAAGGCGAGGTTTTAGCCACTGAACTATCACACTGTGCCCCCAAATAAATAAATCTTCAGGAAAAAAATGTATGTGTATACATATATGTATATATATGAATATGTATATATGTATATACATACATACCAGAAACTCTACCCCAGGCTACCAAATTCTTATAGATCCCTTTGTTTACTTTTACAGCCTTTTTTCTCTTGGACTCCTACAATTGGTCACAGAGGTTAATTTTGCTAGGTTGGTTTTGACAAGACAGCCTGAGACATATTTGCACTGTTACTAGTTCAGAGAATTTGAGTGTACTGCTTGCTTTGGTATTTCAGAGACATTGCAAGCATTTAGGGTTTCCTCTTTCCTTCCAATTTTGTATTATTAAAAATTTCCAGACTTACAGAAAAATTGGAAAGATGGTTCAGTGATATTTGCATGCTTGCTACTAAGTTTCAGCACTTGTTAACCTTTTGTTGATTAACTTTATGTGTATGTTTTTGTGTAGGTATAATTGTTTTTGATGTTTAAAAGTTGTATTTATAAATTTCTTTGCAGGGGCCTTATTTGTTTATATGATGTTCAGAATAACAAGTACAGTGTAGAAGGGAGCAAGCTGCCCTGAAGTTTTTGCTTTTTCTTATTTGGATGAGCCGATCATATTTCCGTGAACTTTTTCTATGCAACTTTTTGTGTAGGCATTTGTGTTTTTCATCCTTCTGTTGTTGAGGTAAGCATAGGTGTTTTGAAGCAGTGTGTTTGTTTTCTCTGTGTCCTAGATGATCCCTCTGATAAGCCACCTTGTCGAGGCTGCTCCTCCTATCTGATGGAACCTTACATCAAGTGTGCTGAATGTGGGCCACCTCCTTTTTTCCTCTGCTTGCAGGTAACTCAGTCAAGTCAATCCCCTGGTGTATGGGTAGAGTACAGCAGAGATTGCCATCGATAGCTCATACCTTGTTCAGTCTGTTCCATGCAATCTTGAATTACCCATTTTACCGGTAAAGACCTGGGGAACCCAGCAGATGGATGGGGCAGACTGTTGACTATTCTGCATGTCTGTTAACCTAATGCTTAGCACTGATATTACAGCATACTTTGCATGAATTGCCCCTTAAATGATTACTGCAGTCCTTTTTCTTTCTGCTTGATAGAAAAAGAAACTCAAGCAAAGAAAGTTTGGTTGTTTGCACAAGGTCACATGATAATCACGTCTGATCAAACGCTAAGCGCTACTGATTGTAAGAAGCATCTATATTGGGCTTGGCACAATAGTCTAGTGGCTGAAGTCCTCACCCCTCATGCTGCTGAATCCCGTATGGGCACTGGTTCATATCCCAGCTGCTCCACTTCCCTCATTGTGACCTGGCAGTAGAGGATGGCCCAATATTTGGGACTGTGAACCTGTGTGGGAGACCCGGAAGAAGCTCCTGACTCCTGGCTTTGGATCAGCTCAGCTCCGGCCCTTGCAGGCCACTTGGGGAGTGAACCAGCAGTTCACTGTCTCTCCTTCTCTCTGTGAATTCAACTTTCCAATAAAAATAAGTAAATCTTTAAAAAATTAAAAGCAACCATATTTCAGAAATATTGAGATATAATACAACTGGTCATCTGGAGAGTAAACAAGCTGATGGAAGATTCACTTGTCTCTGTCTTTATTCTCTTATTATTTCAGAATAAGTCCTTAAAAAATTTTTTTTAAATGTGTAATTGTTATTTGCCTTGGAATTTTTGGAGTACAGTAAGTTCAATATTCAGCAGTCTGATTCTAGGGCTCAGACTTACTGAGGGATGAGTTGTCATATTTTTATTCAGACTGTGTTTTCTCTTAGCCACTGAAAAACTGTGACCATAACGTACCATCCTGTTATAACTTCAGACAAAATTAAATTAATTCTTTTTGGAATAAAAAACAACTCAGCACAAATGTTCTAAGCATGAAAAAGAACAATAAATGCCTGAGGTGGTAGGATGTCAGTTAACCTGATCTGGGTATTACAAATTGTATACGTTTATTGAAATTTCACACTGTACCCTATAACATGTCTGATTACTGTGCATCACTCAAAATTTTGTCTGTCTGTGTTAAGGATTTATTTTATTTGAAAGGCAGAGTGATAGAGATCTTCCAACTACTGGCTTATTCTCAAGGCTGGGCCAGGCTGCACCCCAGAGCCTGGAATTCCATCCAGGTTTCCCACATGAGTAGCCAGGACGCAAGTATTTGGGTCATCTTCCATTGCTTTCCCAGGTATTCGTAGGGAGCTGAATCAGTAATGAAGTTAGGTGGGACATGAACCAGTGCTCTAATATGAGATGCTGGCGTCATAGGCAGGGGCTTAACTTGCTATGCCACAATGCTAGCTTCTGTATGCATATGTGTATAGACTATCATGACAGTAGAGTATGCAAAACTATTTTTAATCCTTTAAATCTTTTATCTTTTAAAAGATTTTAAGTTAAACTTGTTTTCTTTACAGTGTTTCACTCGAGGATTTGAATACAAGAAACACCAAAGTGATCATACTTATGAAATAATGGTAATGATGAAGTTGCTGGGAATTTTATTCGTTTTACAAATATCAGACTGGGAATTGGTTTTCTTTGTGTTCAAATATCTTTCCCTTTTTTTCTTCCTCTGAGTTTGATAATCATCCAATAAGTCTTATAAGGGTTTTATGGAACTACTAAGGTGTTTGTGTACAAAAATAGATTTGTCTACTGATTTTTGCTTTCAGCATAGAAGACAGGGAATGTTTGTGAGGTTGTGTAATATGAACATAACAGATGTGCTGCCATTGGTGTTGACTATGGTCATGTCAGTATGTGTGGCCAGTGTGCCTCACAGTGGCAGTGACGACACTGGTGTTTGGCAACCCTCTACCCTGGGGAAGTTAGTTACCCTCTTGAGAGTTAGAAAATGAACAGAAAGTAAATGACTTAATATAGTGTGTAAAATTGCTTTGAAGACTGACTTACGGTGCAGGATAAGTTCTGGCTGTGATTGTGCTGCCACTTCTTCAGGGGGCTGAGAGAGTGTTCAGGGTTCATTTTTGTGGTTTGCTTCCTTTATTTTTAATTCTTTTAAAATTTATTAATATAGGAGGAATATATTAATCTATGTTAGTATGTAGATTTCATGAATTTCATATATAGGATTTCAAAAATGAAATACTTGCCACCCCTAATTCTTCCCCTCTTCCTCGTTCCTTCTTTTTTTCTTTTAATTTTTTTTTGTGATAACATACTTCTGATTGATTTTATAATCACAAGCTCAATGTTCTTTAAACAAATAACTCTACAAGTAAAAGATAAATAGATATTGTCCCACAGTGGTATAGGCAAGAGTTGTAGACAACAATTACATTGCAAGATGTCAATTTATCTCAATATACATTGTCTATTTATTTTTTTTTTACTCTGTATAGCTACAATCAGTCAGAAACATATTTGTCTTTTTGGGTGTGGCTTGTTTTTGTAAGTATAATGGCCTTTAATTGCATCCATTTTGTTACAAAAGACAGGGTTTCATTCATGTTTATGCCTGAGCAATATTCCAGTCTTTATATGTACCACATTGTCTGTCTGGTCATCAGTTGATGGATATCTAGGTTGCTTCTCGTCTGCCACCTTTAAAGAAAGAGTGAGAGGGCTGGGGTTCTTCTAGTCCTGGCCAGGGAGGGGAGAGGTGGTTTAACTGCTGAAGTGGACAATCATCTATACTTTTGTCAACATAATTTTCTCAGTTTTTACAGCACAGAAAACAGGTATCCCCTTGGTTCACCAAGCAGTTTTCTGGTATTGGGCCTCCCAGGTAGTATTTCTGACAGGAAAGAATGTTGGCTGACTTGGCAGTAATAATTTAATCTTGTAGATTAATCATTTGGTGCTATGTTTGTTTTCTGTGGCTGCTGTAACAAGTTACCAGGCATTAAGGGATTTAGCACAATTCAGATTTACTAGCTCATAGGTAGTAGGTCATTTTTAAATGTGTTCATTGAAAGGCAGAGCAACAGACAATGATCTTTTGTCTGCTAGCTCATTCCCCCATGCCAACAACAGCTAGGCCAGGCCAAAGCCAGGAGACAGAAATTCCATCCAGGTCTTCCACATAGTTGGCGTAGACCCAACATTGTGCCATCATCTGCTTCCTGTCACCATGCATGTTAGGAAACTGGATGCAAAACAGAGGTGAGTCTCAATCCCAGGGATGCCAGTATGTGGTTTAGTCCGCTGTGCCCCAGTGTGCAGCCTCCAATTCTGTCCGTCAGATGACTGTTAGGCTCAGCTGATTTGCCCCATATCTCATAAATCTGAAATGAAGGTGTTGACTGCTCTGCGCTCTTAATCTCGAGGCCTGGGGGAGGTTTATTCAGGTTGTTGGCAGAATTCACTGCTTTAATTTTGTAGAAATGACACCTGCTGTTTCCTTTTGGGTTATTGTTCAGGGCTTGCTCTCTCGTCCTTACACTACCTCTGTTGCTTGGCTCTTGACTCCTTTTGTGTGTCTTCAGAGCGGACAATGCAGAGTCCTTGAGGATTGTTTATGAAATGCTTGGAATCTTTGTCACTTCTGCCTCATCTCTCCTCTGTGGAATCTGATGTTTTTTTCACCTTTTTCTTCTACTTTTAAGGGCTCTTGCATAATACATTGGGCCCACTTAGATAATACAGGGTCTTCTCTCCGTTCTGTCAGCTGATGCGTAACCTTGCACTTTAAAGTTCCTTCACAGCAGCACCTCATTAGTATTTGATAATCAGAGGACAGAAATCTTGGGAGGTGAGAAATGCCTTTGGAATTCTGCCTACAATAGCACTATTGGTATTTAGTTTCTTTAAAAATCTAGAGGGAGTGAATCAGGAACTTTTTGAATTAGCTTGATCATTTCTGGAATCCTACTAAAATGAGTTTCTGCACCTTTAATCCTGCAAGATTCTAGACAATAATAAATTAATGGAAAATAGGTTCTTAATTTACTGCAGCTGACTGGTTAGCCTCTCAGCTTTCCTCTTATGCCCTTTAGGCCTGATCTTTTTTTAATGATTTATTTTATTTTTATTGCAAAGTCAGATATATATATATAGAGAGAAGGAGAAACAGAGAGGAAGATCTGTCCGTGGCTTCACTCCCTAAGCAGCCGCAACAAATAGAGCTGAGCCAAACCAAAGCTAGGAGCCAGGAGCTCTTCCAGGTCTCCCACGCTGGTGCAGGGTCCCAAGGCTTTGGGCTGTCCTCAACTGCTTTCCCAGGCCATAAACAGGGAGCTGGATGGGAAGCGGGGCTGCCAGATTAGAACCAGAGCCTATATGGGATCCCAGTGCATGCATTTATATATATATAAAATTTGTTAGAGGCAGAGAGAGCACACGCTCCCCCATTCACTGTTTGACTCCTCAAATGTCTGTAATGGCTGTGGCTGGGCCTGGCAGGGTCTCCCATGTGGATGGCAGGAACCCAATTACTTGAGCTATTCCGATATCTCCCAGGGTCTGCATTAGCAGAATTCTAGTCAGGAACCAGAGCTGAGAATCAAATCCAGGCATTTTGGTGTGGGACATAGTTTTGTCACCACTGCGTAAACACCTGCCTCCTTTTGTTCTTTTGCTAGTGTTTTACTAAATTATGTAAAACTGGGAATATTTTTTCCCCTGTTCTGAAATGCAAGATGAATGCACTGTTGGAAGGTTGTGTTCAGAGTAGTTGTGACTGAGTTTATTTCACCAAAGTTACCAGATCTTCAGAAACTTATTGTTCCCAGTCTCACTCAAGATGGCTTAGAGCCAACATATAAATTTACTTATTTAAATGTTGAAAGAATTTCTTAAAGGAATAATTCAGAGTTGCTTGGGTAGGTTGCTAGACATTCTTATGGGCTGTTGGGGAAGCTGACCAGGAGCTTATTGAGCTGTTCTGGGCACCATGTCTTCTGCATAAGCGCTAAGTTCATGTGAAGTCTGTTTAACTCCTGATTTTATCATTTTCTCTCAGCACCCATACAGACACATTTCAGAGTTCTCTTTTGCTTTGCGATGCTTTGGAGGGATGTTAAAACCCTTTTCTTTCTTGTAACCACTCTTACCTATCCCCAGACAGTCTTTCTTTATGTAGGAGTGGTGGCTGCATTTTGGCTTTCCATACGTGAAGTCACTAAAAATTTGAATTTTTGCATATGAAGTGTCATAATTTTAAATGATTTTCAGTACTTTTGTCATCTCCCAGTGCTGTATTTTTGGGAGTTACTCATGCAGTGGTGGGTGGTGCATTAATCAAAATTTCTGAGTTCTGTGCCTATTTTTGTCTGGTAATTCTTAGAACCTTGAACAATTGAAGGCAGCTCTTTCTGCCACACCCTTTCTAGCAGTGATTCTTAAATTGAATTGAACAAGAATTGCATAAGAATTGGTGGAGAGCCTTTTAGACGTGTGTGTAGACCCTGCTGTTGGAGATTCTGGTTCAGCTGGGTTGATGTTGGACCTGGAGCTGAATAACATTAATTCAACTTTAAGAACTGCCTCATGCCTTTGAGTGTGTGTAAGGCACAGAAAGTTTTTATTGTTTATCTAAAGTTGGTGAAGGGTAATTAATATTCTAACATTCAATCTTAGGAGTAACATAAACTCCTCAGCCGATGTATGAGTTGGCATGTTTACGTGCTTTCATGATGCCTGCCAGATCGGGAGTGATTATTATGCATTGAATACAAATATAGACTCTGAAGTTGTTCTCTTAGGTATTAGACTACCTTATGTGCTAGGAATATTCATAGCACATGCTTAGATAAAAATATAATGCTCATTGGTAGTGTAATTTTACAAATTGTGACAGCTGTGTTAAAGATTTATTTATTTTATTTAAAAGAAACAGTGACAGAGACAAGGGAGAGAGAGGTTTTTTTATTTGATTGCTCACTCCCTAGATGGGCTAGAGGAGCTGGGGTATTCTGCTGCCTCCCCAGGCACATTAGCAGGGAGCTGAAGTGGAAGAAAAGCCACTGGGGCTGGAATTGGCAAATGTCCAAATGTGGGCTGTCAGTGTCTCAGGTGGCAGCATTAATTTGGTGTATAACAGCACCAGCTCCATGTCGTCGTTATTAATTTACTGATGAAAGATGTAACCATTTCTCCTCTCTGTTCTGAAGACCTCTGTGTCACCCCTCCCCCCTTTTTTTCAGAGAGACAGGTGTTCTTCATTATTGTAAAACAGCTATGCTAAAAGTCACTTGAATTAAAAGAACCATTTTCTTAGCTTACACGGTTTCGTGGGTTGGGCATTCAGATCAAGCACAGTGAAGGAGACTGTCAGTTCCATGTGGTGTGGTGGGGCTGACAGTAACAGGCTTTTTTCCTGTACCAGCAGCTCTCATTAGGATGGGTCAGCGTGATTGAGGGGTCCACAGAAACAAATCCCTTGGTTCTTCTGCAGCTTGTCTTAGGGTGATTCCCTCCCTGGGCTGCTTGATTTCCTGTGGCACTTCTCCACAGGGTCTGTCCAGCATAGAGGTTTGTTTTTTTGTGTAGCGGCTTGCAAGCATGATGCTGGAAACTGCCTGTGAGCAAAGCACAGGCCAAACCCATTTCAAGGGGGAAAGTGTGAATTCTAGAATTTCATCTGGGGCTAATCGCTGTAACCACCTTCACACATGGTACCACTTAGTGCTTAAAATGACCAACTCAGGCCTAATCGGTTTCATCCCAGTCAGTTCAGATTATTTTTTTGTGAATCTCCCATTTTATCTAGGGTAGGTAATAGTGAAAATAGAAGTAGAGAAGTGGACAACTGATGCAGTATACCTTGGGTGCCTCTCTATGCCATAAGAATGGCAATTATTACCTGTTAACTAGTACTATGTTGGGATCCCTGGATTCTAAGGCAACATTTTCTTCTCCTTAGACTTCAGACTTTCCTGTTCTTGATCCCAGCTGGACTGCTCAAGAAGAAATGGCCCTTTTAGAAGCTGTGATGGACTGTGGCTTTGGAAATTGGTAAGGCTTGGTGCCCTGAGAAGTGGCTACTGTTGAAGGGCAAGGGAGAAACTTCAAAAGGAGGATAGTGTTTGCTGCTTTCACATTGGCCCAAGGGTTGGAGACTAGTTCTCTGCCCCTCTGTCCAGTGTTTCGCAGGGCTGCGATGCTTCACCAGGATGTGGGATGGGGAATAGTCACTGGGCGAGCAGCTCTAAAAGGCCACATAGGCTGTACAGTGACCACAGTGGTGGTTTTTTTCCTGAAGTGTGAAAAGGTTTAGCTTTATTAGTTATTGTTCCCATATGATTTTATGATGTTTTTCTTGGCTGTAAATGCCCTAGTCATCTGTGAACTGGGCGTGTGGTACATAGTCATAGTTTCCTGAGTTGGGGATTCCAGAGACTGTGTAATAATAGCATTTTCTGGTTTTTTTTTTTTTTATTTTTATTACATTGCATTATGAGACACAGTTTTACAGGCACTGGGATTCCCCCCTCCCCTCCCCAAACCCCGCTTCCCCCCCTCCCCATGGTGGATTCTTCCATCTTGTTGCATTAAGCATTTTCTGTTTGAAGCACCTGTATTGGTCTAAGTTTGACAAAATTGACCAATGCTCATTTCTGTTCCCCTGGAGGCCATCACATTTTATAATGCTACTATTTTACTTCTTATATTTTGGGAGAACTTCACAATGATACTTCTATTTTGTGAACTAGATAACGGAGGCATTATCAAATATATTTTGTTCATGAGGAATTTGAAGTTAAAATGGTTTCTCACAGCCACAGAGCTGATTAGTAGATGTTTGAGATTTTTTTTTTTCACTTACAAGTCAGAGTTGGGCTGGCATGATGACTCAGTAGCTAAATCCTTGCTTTATGTTTGCCAGGGTACCATATGGGAGTTGGTTCATGTCCTGACTGCTCCACTTCCCATCCAGCTCCCTGCTTATGGAAAGCAGTAGAGGATGGCCCAAAGCCCTGGGCCCCTGCACCCATGTGGGAGACCTGGAGGAGGCTCCTGGCTCCTGGCTTCGGTTCAGCTCAGTACCAGCCATTGGGGCCACTTTGGGAATGAGTTAGTGGATGCAAGATCTTTCTCTCCCTTCTCTCTGTAAATATGACTTTGTAATAAAATAAAAACACAATCCTAGGATTAATCTTACAATGTGGATGTTATTACTATCTGAATTCCCTGGAAGACAAAAATTGAGTTGTTGGGAAATGCAGTAGCTGGAACTTGAGCCAGTGCTATTATGGGATCCCAGTGCATGTAAGGCGAGGATTTAGCCACTAGGGTATCATGCTGGGCCCACATGTAAAATGGTTTATGAACTATAAACATTACACAGCAATAAAACTAGTGTTGAATGTTCTGAAGAGGTTTCTTATCATTTATAAGAATTATTTCCCTTTGATGAGGATCAGAGAAGTCTACAGACTTTTCAGTCATCTTCCTTGTGTGTTTGTGTGAGAGAAAGAAAAGGGATTTTATTATTTCTGTATCTCAGAATACAGAATTTGCAACATCAGATTATGCCAATAAGAGGCTTATATTTGGCTCATTCTGCAGATATGTCCATTGCCTCAGTTTAGAGGCATCAAATTGCAGCTGGCGTATGCCTGCAGGTTAAAATAAGAAGCAGCCATGCTTGACCACTGCAGAAAAATGAAAGTGTCACTTCCTTCTGTCTTTTTCTGCCTACTCTAGGCAGGATGTTGCCAATCAGATGTGCACCAAGACCAAGGAAGAGTGTGAGAAGCACTATATGAAGCATTTCATCAATAACCCTCTGTTTGCATCTACCCTGCTAAACTTGAAACAGGCAGAAGAGGCAAAAACTGCAGACACAGCCATTCCGTTTCATTGTAAGTACCTCCCTAGTTTGGTAAGAGAGACTTACCACATCTTTGGGCCCTATTTCAGTAGATGTATGTGCTGATTGGATGACTTGGAGAGCTGAAAGCATGTGGAAAACAAGGGGAGTTGGTGTGGTAACTTTTGAGTAAGCATTGTGGTGTGGCAAAGAGGGAGTATTTCCCCAGAGCCTGGACATCAGGTACCTGAAACCAGGGGATAATTGGGCCCACTCCGAGTCTCTTGAATATAGCAGTGAATGAGTTGTAAATGAGTTGCTTTCAAGAGTCCATTGCTTGACTCATTGTTAATTGTGCTAGTGTCAAATCCAAGGAGCAATTTGTCGTTTTTGTTCACCTGTTGGCAGCAGTGATGGCAGACTTTTAATCTCACGAGCATGTGGGACTGGTGGGTCTTTTTATGAACCGTAACCAAAGCATAATGAATTATAAATGCACGTTTTTCCTGGTGGACTGCTGGGGTGCAAGTCATGAGACAGGGCTGTTTCTCCTTCCTCCTGCTGGAGTTAGGGTCAAGGATGGCTGCTCAGAGACAGGTGGTGTTGCCTGCTTGAATAGCACTCTGTTCTCAAGCCCATTGAGATAGCCAGAGCAAGCACTTTGGCTTTACACAGGAGGAAGCTGAGGTTCTCAAGGCTGAAATAACTAACTGTATGTTAGAGCTGGACTCACTTCCAGCCAACCTCTAAATCAAGGGGATTTTTGGCTTCTCAGTTGATGAGCCATGTCAGTTGGTATTAGCCCTAAGGGATAGGGAGCTGAAGCTGACAGAGTAGATATTTAAAGATCTTGATGTCCTTTGTAGGGAAGCAGAATTGGGCAAATTTCCCCATATTTACTTGGATTCGATAATCCAATTTCCTTTCCTGAGGCTCAGTTTGTTTCCATAGTATTTTATTTTATTTTTTCCTTTTCTTTTTCATTTATTCTCTTAGAGACTGTTTTGCACTAGCAATAAGATTTCAGACTGTAGTTAAAGACAATTTGCCACTTTTTTCTATCAATATTCTAGTAGTTATTGTCTGTTAGTTTATTATCTATTATTTAAGACAAACTAAATCCTTCCAGCTGCAGACGACCCTCCTCGGCCCACCTTTGACTCGTTGCTTTCTCGGGACATGGCAGGATACATGCCAGCGCGAGCAGATTTCATTGAGGTAGGAGAAGCATGCACCCTGTCTTGCCTATAGAATCCACGCCATCCAAAACATGTTTGCAAAGCAGTGTAAATTTGTCAAGCCTTAAGGAAGATGCATTGACTTCCATTTGAACTCCTTTTCTCATTTGTGCTCATTTGCTCTTATGGAACAATAGAAGTTCTTCAGATCAGGGGTTATTTCCTGAGTCGCATACAGACACTGGCTCATACTTTCTTTTCATGGATGGGATTTTTGCAGTCTAGCTTTATTGTCATACTTAGTAGGTTTCAAGGTTAACACTATACGAGAAATTGGTGAGGTTTTTCTGTTATGGGCCAAATAGTAAATATTTTAGGTTTTTCAGGTCTTGGTTTCTGTTGCAACTCTGCTGTCTCTGTAGATAATACATAAACACATGATTATATCTGTGTTCCAGTAAAACTATAAAAACAGTGGTGAGCTCCACAGTAGTTTGCCAGATCCTACCCTCATACACAATGATGAATGTGTGTAAAATGACATATTCCTCATTCAACCATGCATTTACAAATCACATGAATATAGTCACAAGTCTACAACTTCAGTGCTCCTAAACATAATGTGGAAGTTTAAGTTTTGCTAGCCACATAATAAAGTCAGCATTTTATTCATGGAAAATGATACTATGGTGATCGTACCATAGACTTGTATCTCATGAATTGTACTATTAAGAGACCATGAACAGACATACCCGTTGAATTATGCAACAGTGTTATTTAATATAGCTGTCAAAAATAATCCAAGATAAATGAATTAGTGCAGATAGAGTTCTTACCTAAGTAATTCAAAACCTCCCCCAACCCAGGTTAGATCATTTTAAGAAGGATTGAACAGACTATCCTTAGTTTTTAAAATAGTAGATTTTGTTTCATTCCTGAACTCATAACTATTCTCATTTTTCCTGGCTTCAAGTTTCTCAAATTTTCCCTAATTTCTCATACTCATAAAAGGCAGTATTCTGGCCTTTTATCCCATTTAGTATTTTTTTTTTCAGAGATTTACATGTTTTACTTGAAAGGCAGAGTTACAGAGAGAGAGGTAGAGATAGATTTCTATCCACTGGTTCTCTCCGCAAATGGCCATGCTAGACCAAAGCCAGAAGCCTCATCTGGGGCTCCCACAAGGGTGCAGGGACCCAAGAGTACTTGGACCATCTTCTTCCCCAGGTGCACTAGTAGGGATCCGTATCAGAAGTGAAGCAGCTTAGACCCACATGGAATCCCTGGGTTAACCTACTACATCATAGCGCCAGCCCTCTGTTTAGTGTTTGTTAATGTCTTTGCTTGTGTATTTTCTGCTTGCTTTTAAAGCATGGCTATTATAAGTCACTAATCATAGCTGATGAATTTTGAATGCAGATTTTATTTTTCCTCTTAACAGGAATTCGACAATTATGCAGAATGGGACTTGAGAGACATTGATTTTGTTGAAGATGACTCGGACATTTTACATGGTAAATTCTTTTATAGAATGTTTATTGAATTTAGACTATGTGACAACACTGAGTTGGATGCTAGGAATGTTGAGAGTGAATAAAATGTGGATACTGCCCTCAGGGGGTTTAGGTGCTGAACCTACCCTTATCATTGGGTCTTGACCACATTGAGTAAGGGTTGTGATAATGGTGAGATGTTGGTTAGGTAATAGTAGTTGGGTCTAACTAATCCCGTGCTTTGGAGTATATGGGCTTTTTGTTTGAGATAAGGTCATTGGTTAAATGGCACTCACTTGACTCCTTAGAAGGGGGGCAGTTTGTGTGAAGACCTTGAGACTTCCAGAACAACTGCTGATAACTAAATACTGAATACTTACTGTTACAAGTCAAGTTTTTGTGTTGTGTTAACTGGTACTTTGTTGTTCTGAGGGGAACTTGATTCTTCGTTCATAAAGGAGTTGCTTGGGTATTTGTTACCCCATTTCTGAAACCAAGAAAATCTTTGGAAAAATTTCACCCTGATAATGTTTTTTCTCTGTTACTTCTTGAGCAGTTTTCTTTGCAAAATTTCTATTCCTCCCCTTTCTTCCCACACAAATTTAAGGAAAGTCAAAGTGACGCAGATTGAACTAAAAGAGGAAAGCTTGAATGCAAAGTACTTCAGCACTCACTAGATCCATTGTATTTATTCAGTCTTCCATGTCAATCTCCTTTCATCCCCAGTGACTCATGTTATGTTTTCACCTCTTATGTTATTCCCTTCAAGGTGGTGTGCACATTGCACTCATTATTTCTCTTCATACACACCAGCCTTAATTAAAATGTTACTGTTTCCTGACTTGTATCTTTCTTACCAGACTACTACATGCAAAAAAGAGTGTCTTTATAAGTGTCATTCTTTTAGCACTTTTTAGAAATACCAAACTTTTGAAAGTTAACATCTTTAATGTCAATAATGACTCACCTATGTATGTGACTTGCTGAATCATTTCTGTAGGCCCTAATCCAGGGTCTTCATTCTTATGATTCAGCATGAAGAAAACTGTAGCAATGATTGGCATTTAGTTTTGTTCCTCATTGTAGAAGCAGAATTTGTAACTTCTATTACATTCTTTTATTATATTTATGTTCCTTTCTGTGAAGACAAAAGGGACAATCAAAGATAAGTAGTTAACTGATCAGTAATTTTATTTTTCAAACCTGTGGCATGCTTTAGTTGTTCTCTTTCTGCAGTTTCTACAACTTCATAAAGCCTTTGTACTAAAACTGAAATATCCATGTTAATCCTAAAACGTAGGTAGCTTGGACACTATGTAGGAGCCTTTTCCCGGTAGTGAATGTGTATATATGATGTGTAGCTGGGTGCTTTTAACAAGATGGTGATATTTTAAAGCGTTCTGGCAGCACTGGAGATGACAGGGATAACTTGGTACCACGAGAGAGCCCTTGTTGATGGTTCTGTGCTCTTGTGTCTCTTCTGGCAGCACAGCTGTGTGCAGCGGGGAGTTGGCCCTGAGCAGTCGCTGGGAACACTCAGTGAAGGGGTCTAGGAGCCCAGGGAGGCTCAGAAGGAAGTCAGGAGGACTGAAACAAGAAACAGAGAGGGCACAGACATCAGGACAGGATTCAGCCTCAGGCTTGTTTCTAAGTTCTTGGAGTCTTGCTCGCTGTTTGTGTCCCCTGCCAGTAAAGAGTGGCACTGATTAGTCAGAGAGTGTAAATGCCTTCAGTGGAAGATAGTAAATAATGAAGATGGGTGTTATTGTCATTCCATCAGACTATTATACTCTTAACATTACTGGGCATTAACATTCCTTTTATGTTCCCTCACTTTGAAATACTAGAAGAAACAGGCTGTTTGTCCAGATTTTATATTCATAACCCATCTAAAATACTGACTGCCAAGCCCTTTTCCTTACACAAACATTTTTGCTTTTATTTGTGGAATTTGCCTAATAAAATTGGCTTGCATGGTCAGAGGCTTGAGATACAATGGATGGCTAATTCATGCCAGAAGGCTTCAGAATGGGCACAGAAAAATTACTGAAAGTTATGCTGTATCTAACAAAGAAAATAAGGAAGTTCTGAGATCATTTAAGGCTGCCTTATTAAAATATGTAGAAACTATTACTTCAGAAAGAGAAGTAGAGGACTCATAGCTTGAAACTCTCTTACAGCAGATTGAGCAGTGTCAGTGCGTGTGCTCAGCTGAGTAGCCTTTCTCAGCCTTTTCTCCTTCAGCTTAACTGCTAAACTGATGGACCACTCTTTCTGAGTGTCTCAGGGTCCTGAAGTTCTCGCTGCAGCATCTTTTAGCCATTTTTGCATGGATTGAGGCAGCAGTAGGCTTTAAAAACCTCTGCTGTGTGTTGGGTCTGTTTCTAATACCTGTTAGGGTCATGCAGTAGTGCAGTTTACTTTTCCTCTACTTGGAAAAATTAATGTCAGCAGTATTTCTCTGCTAAGCATGGATCCCATCCAGTTTTTAGATGGCATTTCTTAGGCCTGTGTCCTCAGCCTTTACATCCTTTGAGAGTAAATCTAGGAATTGGTGGCATGGCAGAGCAGGTTAGGCCGCTGCCTATAGTGCCAGTTCAAGTTCTAGCTGCTCCACTTCTGATACAGGTCCTGCTAATGGGAGAGCGGCAGAGCATGGCCCAAGTGCTTGCATCCCTGCACCCTTGTAGGAGACCTGGAGGAAGTTCCTGGCTCCTTGCTTCAGACTGGTTCAGTGCCAGAGGTTGTAGCTATTTGGGCAACCAGCCAGTGAATGGAAGAGCTCTCCTTCTCTCTCTTTCCTGCTTTCCCTGTTGTAATTTTGCCTTTCAACTAAAAATATCTTTTTAAAAAAGATTTATTTGCTTTTAGTTGAAAGGCATATTTAGGGGCCCACATCATAGTGCAGCAGGCTACTCCTCTGTTCTATGGTGCTGGCAATCCCATATGGGTGCCAGTTTGTGTCCTGGCTGCTCAGCATCTGATCCAGCTTTCTTCTGATGGCCTGGAAAAACAGCAGAGGATGACCCAAATCCTTGGGTCTCTTCACCTCTGGGAAACTGGGAAGACGCTCCTGGCTCCCAGCTTCTGATCAGCTGAGCTCTGGCTATTGTGGTCATTTGGGGAATAAAACAGCAGATTAGAGACTTTCTCTCTGTTTTTCCTTTTCTCTCTGCTGCTTTTTAAAGAAAAATAAATATTAAAAAAATAAAGAAAAGGGAGATTTATGGAGAGAGAAAGAAGGGGAGAGAGAGATTTAGCCATAGTTGGAAGCTGTCCGGAGCTAGGCTCAGGGGCACATGCCATAAGCAGGGAAGTGGAACAGCCAGGACACAAACCAGTGCCCATGGGTTGCAGCTGCTTTCAGGCAGATGGTTAGCTAGTTACACCGCTGTGCTGGCCCCAAACAAATCTTGAAAAGAAAAAGTTGATCTGAGGTTGAACCTTGTTTCTGTGTGTGTTCACAGAATGCATAAAACTCTTTATTTGATCAGAATTTTTTTTACATAGGGCATTTAAACAAGGTACTGTTGTAACAATCAGTAGTAAAGCATCACTCCGTGTACTGTTACAGGCATGTAGTCATTTAATCCTCACACAATCCTTCGAGTTACCTCTTTTCCCCCAGAGGTACAGTTACAGAGAAAGGAAAAGAGGGAAAGACGAGAGGTCTTCCATCCCACTGGTGAATCCTCAAATAACCAAAACAGCTAGGACTAGACCAGGCCAAAGTTGAGATACTGGAACTTCTTCCAGGTTTTCCATATAGCTGGCAGGGCCTACATACTGAGCCATCTTCCACTGCTTTCTTATGTACACTAGTTGGAACTGGATCAGAGTGGAGCATCTTGGGCCCAGCGCGATAGCGTAGTGGTTGGGGTCCTCGCCTTGCACACGCCGGGATTCCATATGGTCACCGGTTCTAATCCCAGCGGCCCTGCTTCCCATACAGCTCCCTGCTTGTGGCCTGGGAAAGCAGTTGGGGATGGCCCAAAGCCTTGGGACCTTGCACCCGCGTGGGAGACCTGAAGAAGCTCCTGGCTCCTGGCTTTGGACGGGCTCAGTTCTGGCCATTGCGGCCGCTTGGGGAGTAAACTATCAGATGGAAGATCTTCCTCTCTGTCTCTCCTCCTCTCTGTATATCTGCCTTTCCAATAAAGATAAATAATTTTTTTTTTTTTAAAAAAAAGAAGTGGAACATCTTGGATTAGACTTGATACCCATAAGGAATGCTGGCATTGCAGGCAGAACCTTAATCCACTGCACCACAATCTCAGCCCCTACACGTCATTTTTATTTTGCAAATGAGGAAATGGAAGCATGGTTCATATAGCTTACCTGAGGTCACATAGCTACCAGTCAGCAGAGCCATCCTCAGAGTATGTGTTTTTCTTTTCTTTCTTTTCTTTTTTTTTTTAAAGATTTTATTTGAAAAGCAGAGTTATAGAGAGAGGGAGAAAGCTCTCCCATCTGCTGTTATACACCTCAGACGACTGCAGCAGCTGGATCTGGGCCTCTCAGAAGCCAGGAACCAGAAGTTTCTTCTGTGCCTCCCATGTGAGCACAAGGGCTCAAATACTTGGGCCATCCTCTGCTGCCTTCCCAGGTACATGAGCAGGGAGCTTGAGCTAAGTAGATCAGAGCAGCTAGGACTCAAAGCAGCACCTGTAAGGGATAATGGCCCTGCAGGCAATGCCTTCACAGCGCCAGCCGCAAGAGACTGTGTTCTTGAACCTGGCACCATAGCCTAGGGGCTAAAATCCTCACCATCAGCGCGCGGGTGAATCTGTGTTCTTAACAGCATATAATATTTACTGTCTAAATTTTCTTGCTTTTTTGTTTTTGTTTTTATTTTTAGAGCTATTTGAAAGGCAGAGTTGCCTAGGGGAGAGCCGGGTCTTTCATCTCTTGGTTCACTCCTTAGGTGGCCACAGTCACAGGGATAGACTGAAACCAGGAATGCAGAGCTTCATCTCCGTTTCCCACAAGGATAGCAATGGGCCAAGCAGTTAGGCCAGCTT